TGGCTTCTGATAACGCTACCTGTTTGAATAACCTGTTCACTAAAAGGGTTTGAAAGAGTTTTTATTTAAAATAAGACCTTTAGCTAGTTCTGCTTAAACAATCAAAGATTTATATATTTTTATATCTTGCAAAACATATCCATTATATTATAATGGATATGTTATATTATATTATATTATAAACTTATATTTTCAAGTGTTTTTAAAGGGTGTGGATCATTTGGAGCATTTTATCTTCATCAGTTTTTGATTAATTTATCTAATCAATTTATCTTTTATTCTGTTGGGCTGTCATGTGACTTTTATCACCGTGACTCCTGTACACACTGTGATAGGGCTGAGCTACCTATGGAATAGTTTGCTTAATAAACCAGTGACTTGGTGTAGTTTGGTGTGCATGGTAGCACTGAGTGAATGTCTGCAGGGCTAGTTGTTCATTAGCCATCTTAGAGGATCAAAGAAGCTTAGTGTCATTGTTTTCAGTCTGTGAACCAAACTGAAACCTGAACGCTCAGAACATTAGGTCCTCTCGACCTCGGTATGAAAAGAGCCGGTGCTGTTGCTGCACGACAAGAAATTCCTCATGCACCGAAGGCGGTGGTTTACAATACCACAGTATCCTGAGCCAAATGCAAATCGTAGTTGTCTACTATTGTGTGAACACAAGGTGTCATTGTGTGCTATAATGCATAGCAGGTTGCTTACTGTCAGTGGAAAATTGTACTAAGTAGTCAGTATAAGCTTTTAGTGATATAAGTTTATTGATGATAGAATACTGCATGATGATCTTTTCCTCGTTTAGAACTGATTGTTCTTTATGAAACGTGTTCTGATATTTGTATCTGAATCTTTCCACAGCGATAGTAAGAAGTTGAACAAGCAGTTCTGACCTCGCACACACACACACACACACACACACACACACGCTCATGTCACTGAACGAATGTGTTCATTTCTCTTGTATAAATAAAGAACGCAGACGGTGACAGAGCACAAGTCCGTGAGTGTCTCTTACGTGTAGGAGCGCTCTGTCACTTGTCCTCGCGAGTAAAGACAACTGCAGTGTTTGTGTTTTCTAACTCAAGTGTCTCAGCTGAAGAATTGCGGGGTGATTTTAAGAAATCCCCTGTCACTTACATATGTTAGCAAGGGTGTTGTCTGTGTGCATTAGCCTTTATAAGCTTTGTTTATTTGGAGTTTAACATGCAACCTGTTTTAAAATGTGAATTTCACAGATCGATAGCAGCATCTTCATGTCAGTGACATGTTCACTGTAAACCATGGGCCTGTAGTTAATGGGCTGTTTTGGATCGAAATCTGTGAAATCTGTGGTGTTGAACAGTAACTGAATGATGTCCCACCCCAAATACATAAAAAATAAATTGATGACCAGGAAAAATAGTCAATTACTGTATTTGTTTTTTGTATTGGTTTTTTTTTTCACTTTAGCTGTGTTCTGTCTTTCCTCACTCAGAGGACCCACATGCCAGACATGGACCCCGAGACCACCCACACCGAGCCCGCAGTGGATGAAGAGGCATCTCTCTTCAGCACCATGGACCTCTTGCTGTTTTCCGTCATTGTCAGCTTTGTAGTTTACTGGTTCATGTCCCGTAAGAAGCCTGAGCCCATTCCCGAATTCAAAAAGCTCGACACACCGTGAGTATCCATCAGCTTTCAGGTTCCATCTGGGACGCGAACACATGACATGAGGTTAACGAGTTGAAGCTCATAAACGGGAGTAGTCAGGGTACTTTAGTAGATCAATAGCTTATTTTTATCTTCAGTCACAGTTTTAAATAGTTGTAGAGGTAATGGTGCTGTATTGTAAATTATCCTCACGTGTAGATGCACATTTAAACTGTACAGCTGGACACTCGTGAGTCAAAGTTTGCTTTCAGAAGCCAAGCTGCGTCATATGTAGGCAGATCCTCATCAGGAGCTGCTGCTCTTTCTAGCTGCAGTTGCATTTATATATCCAGGGACTGGGTCTAATGCTGTTTGCTGAATGAGCTCATTAACGAGGACATTTACTGGGACACACAGATTATTTGTGCTGGTGGATAAACCTTTGGTCTTCAAACTAATCATGTGTCTTGTGTTGGCAGACTTCAGCTTCTTATCACCTTAACCTGGCAAAAAATGTGTTGGACTATGTTGTATAAGTTGTCTGTGTTATATGCCATCTGTTTTTTGTTTTGTTTTTTAATCTTTATCTAATAAATAATCGAATAAATAATTCTAAACATTTAAAGATTGATAAAAATTTACAAATGCACAGTGAAAATGAAGATTAAACATGGGCTTCTTTTTTAATTTGTTTTTTTTTTATTACATCTCTTCAGGTATATTTTAATTGGGTATGATACTGACCCAGAAAGCTTGATTGGTTGTCAATTACAATGGGTCGATACACGATCCGATCCATTCACTGACTCAGTTTGATCCAAATAAGGCCTGGTGCAATTGAGGTATAATACTGGTGCAGTTGACTAAGACCATGACATTTCATGTCATGACATGACATGAATGTCATGACATGACATGACATGTTTAAAAAAAATGAAGTTAAAAAAATCTTTTTTTTTTTAACTTAATTTTTTTTAAACATGTCATGTCATGACATGAAATGTCATGTCATGACATGACATGTTTAAAAAAAATGAAGTTAAAAAAATCTTTTTTTTTAACTATTAAGATATATTAATATAAGCAGCATTAATATGCTTAAGAAAAAAATCCTGATTGAGGTTGTTATAATCCATGCATGAAAGGGCTAACAGATATTTTAAATAAAAGAATCAGTGAAAGCGTGGTGCTCCCAGATGATTATAAACCGAAACTTAGGACATAACCTCCTGACAGTTTTAGTTTTATTCTCTTAATTGCAGACTCGCTGCTGTTTTTAAGGGCTTGGAAGTAAATATATCAAATGGGCTTACTCTACATACAAATTTGACATGTCAGCAAGTACAGTTTGGATGTCCTGTCGTAGGATCATATACTTATAGGAAAAAAACCACAAACCTTAGATGCAGCTGAAAAACTTTACACGTTCTCTTCGCAGGCTTCTGAGGGGTCTTCTACGAATAGTGACTCTGTTTTCTAGAGAATTGATTGGTCAGCAGGTGGGATTTTCATACCTGTTGCTCTCTAATCTGCAACATAATCTACTCCAGAGCGGGAGGGCTCTATAGCGATATACTTTGTTAAGAAGGGAACCACCTTCCAAGTACAGGAAACCCAGGATTAAGTCTGGATAAGCTATTATCCTGGTTTGTAGTTCAGGTGTCTGATGTTTCCTCTCACATGATGATTTCCAGCCACTTCCTCACATACTTTAACCCTGATATTAGCTGTGTGCTTGGTATCTGCACATATCCACAGCCATGGTATCGGTATTAGATTGCAACCAGAAAAGCCGAATCAGATGATCCCTAATTTTATATTGTTTTAATCTACTTTCAAAAAATGCAATTAGTCGAATTGTTTTTATATTAATATGAAAGAAATGTGTTAAAGTTGTATAGTCAGTTTTAAGAGGAAAAACATGTATTTTTTTTGTATGTATTTTTTTCTTTCATATTTTTAATTCTTTTTAAAAAGAATTACTTTTCCCTCAGCTGCTCATCATAGCTGTTTTTAGTACTGAACATTTCTTATAGTTTAACATGAATAAGGGGAAGTGTTCTGTTTCAGTCCTTCTTTATGAATGAATAGTGTTTTCTCCTCAGACGAGGCCTCGGGATGTTCGGTCTCCAAGCAGAGACCGTGACATCCTTATATTAGAGCAGCTGAGGATTCTCTAGTAAATGTTTCACTACTCGTGACCTTTGTTTTCTCTCACCCTCTCCTTTCACACAGTTTCTGTCCTCCCATAAACTCACCCGGGCTTTCTGTCTGGCTCCTCTTCCTCTCTTCTGAGCCCTCCCTCCCCTCCCCACTCTGTTCATTCCAGGTACAAGCCTGTGCAGACCACGAGTGGGCGTTCCTCTCAAGTTACATCCAGTTTAGTTAGGGTCACAGTTAAAGTGATTCCATCCAACCACAGCTGTTGGGGAGGGCTCATTCATTTTCTGTAGAGACTACTCACTCTGCTCTCCCCCATGATGGCATAATGGAGACTTGGACTTGCCTTGCACTGGCCACATTTTTATTTATTTTTTTGTCCACTTCCAGGCATAAGCTTTATTTTTCTTTACTTTATTTTTTGGTGAAGGGGGAAAAAATAAGAAAATGAAGCAAAAGGAAATCCTGACCATTTGTGTTAAAGCAGGAATTTGGTTGGAAAGGAGGTAATGATCCCTGGAGAACATGTTTTTGTTGAGGGCGGGCCTAAAGAAAAGGGAGTTTGGGGGCAGCACCCCCTCAAATCTGGTCTCTCCTCCCCTTAAAGGGGCAGCGATTGCTTAACTCCTATGAAGGGGGCGTAGTTTTGTCTCTTTCCTGTGCTTTTGTTTTTGGCCCTGAACCCATTTTGAAAGTTCCCTGGAGAACAAACTAGGCAGGCGCGCCAAGTTCCCTTTTGTGAGCCCTCTCCAAAGGTGGAAAGTTGAGGCTGAAGACAAGCAATCCATTCTTTGTCCACAGTTAATTTTTTTTCTTTCTTTTAAATCATCCCCACCGCTGCTTCTTACCCTCCCCTCGTCGTGGGTGGGTGTGTGGGTGCGCTCTGAGCTTGTTCCACCATTGGAGGGCCATGTCACAAATGAAATCCTTTTATGATAAATGAGGTTGCCATGGAAATGACACCCCCCCCCCCTTCCTCTCTTCTCCTGTTAGGTGGGGGTAGGGGATACTTCAGGGGAAAAACATACCATTCATTGCCCCCCCCCTTTTCTCCTTTAGTGGTCCACTGAAGAGTTGCTCTGATAACCGGCCAAATTCTCAGATTGGACTTTTTTGCTCCTAACACCTCCGAGGCTGGAGAGGAAAAGGGGCGGGGATGAGCAGGAAGGCATTTTCAGCCCGAGATCGCTTCAGTGTGTTTGTGTGTGAGTCAAACGTGTGGGTCTGCAGCTCGGCTGGATTTTATGGGAAAGTCAGTTTCCCACCATTGTGTTCTCGGCGGTTGCCAGACACTCTAACGGCTTGTAAGCTGCTGTGCTCGTGCATGTGTGTGTCTGTGGAGTTGTGTAGAGCTGCTGGTTTCACAGAGCAGTACAGGAAGAAGCTGAGTTCAGATTGTGTTTGAAGCGTGTAAGGGGAAGTCGGGCCGCTCTACAAACCTGTAAATATCTCTCTGACTTTTTGGGCTGGTGTTACTTTTCCATCTCGCACATCTGGACCATCCTGCCCTTTTGATTATTTTTTTTTTTTCGAGCGTGGCGGCTCCCGGTGTTGCCTAGCCAGCGGTGCTAGTGGCAGTGGTGAGCTACAGGGCTGCATGCCATGGGCTGCGTCTTCTCCCTGCCAGAGGACAGGAGAGATGCTGCTGAGAGGTCAGTGACATGTTTGATTTACTGCTTCAAAGCATGATGCAGTGTGTTTTTAATGCTGCTTACTTGAAGGATGATGTAACATTTTTTGTAACATTTGCCACTGGCTGCCTGCTGATTAGGCTGATAGCACAGACCACATTTGGAAGTAATTTGTAAGCACTGAGTAGTAGCTTGTTTTCAGTAAAATCTTTGCACACAAAGCTTAGCTGTCTGTTTCAAGACGTTGAAGCGAGTGCTATAAGAAGCTATACGTTGTTTCTGGAGGTTATGTAAGACGGAGATAATATCTATTTGACTGCAAGTCCTATTTGATTATTGGCTTCTCTGTTTCTTTTCTTGTTTTCCCTTTACCGCACAGGTCACTTGCACATTTACAGTCTTGTTTGCTTTAGTTCTTTATATCAACTTTGCATACGGCTCGGTTTGCTACTGGCACATTTAAATAGAAAGGAATGGAAATGCATGTCATTCATTGGTTGTGGCGTCATAAGATCAAGATCATGGGATAACTTCCTGGATGGGTTCTTTATCTTAATTGCTATTTGTGCAGCTAATTACTGAGCAGCAGGTTGGAGGTTTGTTTTGACACAAGAAGCCAGACTTCCTTGCATTTTATTTTGTTGTGGTCTCAGGCAATAGTTGTCCAGGTTTTTCGAGGTTTTTTGGGGGGGTTTCGGTCATTTTCAATCCAGTGTCTGTTTCTGCTCATTTTCAGAGGAATGTTTTTTGTTTGTAAGCAACTTAATACCAAATAAGGGATAAGCCAGTGTTGTCTACACGTGGTAGAAATCTTCACAAAGAACCAGTTTTGTTCCCATTTCTTTAGTTGACTCTGCACAAAATGCCAATAACAGTTTGACAGATTCTGAAAGAGCTAAAAGTTGGGACATGTGCTCTGCATTGTGTTAAAAATCTGTGGAAAACAAAAGACGTGTGTCTAAACAATACCTATCTACACAAGATGTACAGCATCTCTTATGGAGCAAATCCAGAAAAGACCTGACAGCGAACCTGAGAGATGTTCACTGAAGAGTGAAAATCGGTGGCAGGTCTTTGGATCAAGTCATCGTCCTTGTGTTAAGGAGGAGGTTGAAAGTGATGCAGTGAGTGTCTACGGCCATCCTTAAAATATGGTCGAGGCTCTGCCGGGTTTGAGGCTACGCCTCAGCCGGCTAGTAAATCCACCACATGTGTTGGTGATTGATCCTGATCGTCACATTTTATCTGATATTATTTGTGTTTTAGGCTGCAAGGACGGGGAGATTGATTCATAGTCACAGCCTTTGCTGCGTGTGTATATCTGATGTATTATAATGTAACCGGGCGCTGCATTGACTTTGAACTCCCGTAACCTTGCTGTTTTGCAATTTCACACAGAAATCCTTCCTTTTGGCGGGTGGTTCAGAACAGATAACACGTCTAACGGATCCTGCTGAAGCTGTCAGGAAGGGTTTCGCTTCAGTGCAAAGGCTTATTTTTAATTTTGATCAGCAATTTGGTTCAGAGGAAAAACTCAATGAACCTGTTTTGTTTTTTTTTGTTTTTTTTCTTCTTCTTTAATATATAATTACACGTTCAACGTTAATCCCACACACACTGCAGGGGTTAGGTTCACTGAGGTTGTATTGGGTTTTTTGTGCCCTTTTTTGAGAGTACAGTGTACTATGGAAACCTGTCTTATGTCATAGAGTTTTTCAAATCAATATGTTGCTGCTCAGCGTTAATGGCTTTGCTGGAGGTCTTGTCCTCCTGAATCATGGAAATCGAACAGTGTGTTCATCTTGCATTAGTATTTATGCTCGTAGTCATGTGTGGCCTGCGTATTCCTTTATCAGTGCAGATGTCCACTCAGCTTTGATGCTGAATGAAGCTGTGCTGCCTTTCATTTTGCTGCGTGCTGCTGTTTTTTAAATGTTTCAGTCCATTAGTGACTGACTTGGTAAATATGAACCCAGAGTTTAAATCATCTGATGTAACACATTATATATTGAGCACTGTGTAATGAATCCATCTGTGGGTCTACAGACCATTGGTCTGAGCAATGCTTGTGTAATAGCCTTCTCACTGATGTAAGGATTGCATCAACTGAGACTGGTGAAGACTTGCTAAACATTTCTTTTTAAACTGTGTCAGCTTACAGTAAATGCATTACTAAGCTAAAAAAATGTGTCCTTAAGTAAAACAAGAATCCCCATCTTTAAAAATAGTCAGTATGAAACAGAAATGAGAAGCCTTTAAGTAATCAAGTGAACTGACGCTGCACTGAGTGTCATACACACTTAACTCTCCTCAAAGTATTTAAGTGGTTCTGCCACTCTGCGTTGTTGGGTGTTTTACTAACACCTCCACTACCCCAGTATCCACCTGTAGGCTCTAAGTGTATAATCGTTCCCCAGTTTCCGTAGGTAATATTTGCTCTGAGTGACGAGCTCAGCCTAGATGCCGGCCGCGCCTCCCTGAGCCTAGTTCTCCCAGAGGCTTTTCTTAAAGGGGGGTTTTTCCTTCCCACGGTTGCCAAATCTCAAAGGGGGTCATGTGATTGTTGGGGTTTTCTGTTTTCTTTGCATTATTGTAGAGTCTTACAATAGAAAGCACTTTGAGGCACCTGTTGTTGTTGTTGTTAAATATGCTATACAAATACAATTAAATTCAAACTCTAAATTCAAATTCTGTTGCTGTAATAAGTCATTTTAATACATTATGTTAACTCATTTGTGATGATAAACCTTTGTGTTGCGTTGATGTTATTTTTGACTCGGGACAGGGCAGCATACTTACAGATTAGTTGTGTTTGTGTATCATGCTGGAACAATCCTCTTCTGAGAGTCATCCTTTAAGGCAGAACATGACACATCGGAAATCTTTCAACGTGCAAACCTACATTCATCTGCCACTTTGTTAGGTACACCTGTTCAGCTGCTCTTCTGTTTCTTGAACATAACAGTGAGTTCACTTGTGTGCAAGTTTCCAGTTTTTTTTAAACCATGTCATTAAGAATTGAGGCTGTTCTGAAGTCAAAAACAGGTCTAGCCTAACTACTGGCAAGGTGTACCTAACAAAGCGGCCACTGAGTGTATGAATGTCCTGTCTCCAGCAGGTTTTGCACTCATGTCCCAAACATCCAAAGCTTCTGGCTGCTACACAAATCTTTGTACCCACCTATTAGATGTATGAGGTCATGCTCGTGAATGTTGATTCAGTTCAGGTTTAGAGTACGTGTGCAGCTGATGATTTAACTAAGGCTTAAAAGAACAAAAAGTACTTTGACCTCTCCAGCTGTCAGCCATTTGGAGGACAGAAAACTTGCTGTAATTCCTCCATCAGCTTCTTTGCAATGGTTGTTACTGCTAAATGGTCTTCAACCTTTGTAAAAGGATTGTCGTCTCTGCTTATTTGTAATTGTAATATTTCATTATCTCTTCCAGGACACTCACCACAAGAGAGACCAGTTTCATTGAGAAAATGAAGAAAACCGTAAGTAATGCTACTTTATCAGATATATTTTAAAATAACACTGTATAGACGGGTGAGCTCCAGACTTGCAGAGTTAATGTTGTGGTTATTCACCAGCTAATAATTATCTTTATGGGCCCTGCAGAGTAGTTTTGTTGCCCTCTTGCGGAGTGGACGAAGCATACAATAACTGTAATGGTATCCCCGCTGATGTGACCACATTAAGCTCTTGATTTCCAAACAATGTTTTGACTTTTGTGGAACTGTTTTGTAGCCAGAGCTGAGCAAAGGCTGGCGTTTAACTGATGTGGTTTTTGAAGAGAATAGTTCAGATACCACCGCGGTGGCAGGAAGGATCTTTGGCCACCACTGAGGTTTAACTTTGCCCCCGTTTTTGTCTCAGCAGTCCTGAAGGTGGCAGTTTATTTTATGGCACACATGGGGATGGAGTGTACAGAGCTCTCTGCTGGGGGGGGGAGAAAAGAGAGTAACTCAATGATGGAGTTCATGCAGAAGTCCTATAGTTCAAACGCAGGTCTAAGGAGGCATTTTATGTAGATTTAAATAGATTACATACTTCGTGATGTAATGCATTTACATTATGTGATGTAAATGATGAGTACATATCTTTGTGTGCAGGGAAAGAACATCATTGTGTTCTACGGGTCTCAGACGGGTACAGCAGAGGAATTTGCTAACAGGCTGTCCAAAGACGCTCAGCGTTACGGCATGAAGGGAATGGTTGCTGATCCAGAGGAGTATAGCATGGTAAGTATTGCCAGTGAATGAAATGCACAGCACAGTGAGGATAAATGCAGTTATTCTGCGTTGTTAAAACGTGAAATGTTTGATTTTAATGATTTGTAGTGAAGCTTCTCTCATTCCTAGATAAATAAAACATGTACACACCTCATCACATCACTTGTTCCAGTCACAGTTGGATGTAATGTCTGCTTATTGAGAATCAGTGTTTGCATCCATTTTAAACTTCAGCGTCTCCGATTCTCTCTCGTTACAGGGGGAACTGTCCCGTCTGTCTGAGATTAAAAACTCGCTCGCCATTTTTTGCATGGCCACCTACGGAGAAGGAGACCCAACTGATAATGCACAGGACTTTTATGACTGGCTGCAGGAAAACGATGATGAGAATCTCTCCGGATTAAACTACACTGTGAGTTTTTATGCTCAACTTTGGCCGGTGTAAATTCTGTCAAATTAAAAGCGACTTCAGGAGAACTTCTTTGTTGAAAGTGAAGTTTTAAAAAGTACAACGCAGACAGTGAAACGGACGCTGGGCAAGATCAGTGAAGTTTGTCGTATGTTGGACTGTTACTTCCTGCCAGTCGTGCTACACTGTCATGATGGAAAGCCCAGTTAGGTTATAAACTGACCTTTGTAAAGTAAAGAATAATAAGTGGAGATGATGATGATACTTGGAATTTGAGTCACCAGCTACACAGCCTGGATTTGCGTCACGCAAAAAAAATTTTCTTACAGACTCCAGGTTCATGTGTGACATGAACATGGAGTCTGTAAGAAAATGTGTGTTGAAGCTTCACTATTATACACATGAGGCGGTCAAAGTAATTACATTTAGTTAAAAACTCGAGGACAGTTAAGATACTTGTAAAATTACGAGATTTCTCTGTATCTATGAAGCGCCTTGAGGCGACTTTTGTTGTGATTTGGCGCTATATAAATAAAATTGAATTGAATTGACATCGTGTTATTGTTGGGACTCGATGTCCTCATTTGAGTGAAAAATTTTATGGTTAAAATTTGATTATGGTTAAAATTTAAGCTATTTAAACTTTTTTTTGTAACGAACTTCTTGTTTTCACTGTTATGTATATTTTGCCATGTGTGCTATTTGAGGGAGCAGGTCAAGTGGAGGACAAAATAGGAAGTGGCATGCCTAAAAACAATCCACAGCAGATGAACAGTATCTGAAAGTCATGACTTTTGATGATCACTTCCTGCACCTGTTTCCCATTTTCTTTGCAAAATACGAAGAAGTGAGGTGTGACTCAAGACCTTTGCACATTCCTCTGTTTTGGTTTTCATCAGTAGAAAACCGGTCGGACATCTGCAGTTGCACGGGATTATTTCGAGCGTGTTGTTTTTGTGGCACTGAACCAAAGCCGCGTACTGGCCACTCTTCATTGTGTTCCGGTCTGTTTTCAGGTTTTTGGTTTGGGCAACAAGACGTATGAACACTACAATGCAATGGGGAAATATGTGGACAAAAGGCTGGAGCAGCTGGGGGCAACACGCATCTTTGATCTTGGTATGGGAGATGACGATGGCAAGTAAGTGACTGATGGATCCTCTGTGCCTAAAAAGAAGTGAGCTCCGCATTTTTGGGTGGTGCAGCACGGGGGTTGAGATAAATTAGACCGTTTAAGATGCACATTTGAAGACTTTATCAGCCTTTTTAAAATAATGCTTTTTTTTGACTCTTAGTTTGGAAGAGGACTTTGTTTCATGGAGAGAGCAGTTCTGGCCGGCTGTCTGCGAGCACTTTGGAGTGGAAGCCTCAGGAGATGAATCAAGGTGAGTTCAGGGACAGTTTGTGCCATGCATCATCATTTCATTATTTCAGACTTTTGATTTGGCAATTGTGCAACAGTTGCCTTGAGACATTTTTACCTTTCTCTCATCCTGCCTGCTTATTTTTGTCCTGCTGCATCTCTAAATAGAAACTACAAACACAAAACACAGGATGACTTGCTGTGATTCACTCCATATTGAATGTCCGCGTGTGCACAGCTTGCAAACTGTAGTTTGTTTTGTCTCTCAGCATTCGGCAGTACGAGCTGAAGGAGCACACTGACATCAACATGAACAAAGTGTACACTGGAGAGATCGGCCGCCTGAAGAGCTTTGAGGTCCAGAAGCCGTGAGTATCGTAGAAGAAACTAATCACTGCAATGGAGACCGATCATTCACTGCTAGCATTTCACCTGCATTTATGACAAACTCCAGACTGGGTACAAGTGACCCTTTCTGCCCTCTAGTGGTTAAAAAAACCCCAACCCTAAACTTTTTACTGTCTTAGAAATAAATCTTTTTAATACTTAAGTGCTGCTCTTTTATTCATAGGCCTTTTGACTCCAAAAACCCCTTCCTGGCTCCAGTGACTGTCAACCGCAAACTAAATAAAGCTGGTGACAGACATCTGATGCATCTGGAGTTGGACATCACAGGCTCCAAGATCAGGTGAGGCTGGATGGGATAATTGCTTAGTAAACCTTTATCTCCCTGATTTCATGCAACGATATGCTTAGCCCTGATGTATTTTTAGCTTTATGAATTCAGCTCAAAGTCTGAATTTTTTTTTTTTCTCATTCTCATTTCAGATACGAGTCTGGAGACCACGTTGCAGTTTTTCCCACAAACGACTCTGCGCTGGTGAACAAGCTGGGACAGACACTTGGGGTTGACCTTGATGTGGTTATCTCTCTCAATAACCTTGATGGTATGGCATTGACAGACCCAAAGCACCTCGACCTTACAGCTCGTCCCTCCCACAGTCTAGTGAAATCTGCCCTTGATATTCAAACTTGCTGTATCAGCTCACTTAATGTCTGAGTGACAGGGGTACTGTAATATTATGTAATAGCAGTAATTTAGCGGTAGTATAAATACTTAAGTTAGCTGTTGTTATAAAGGTCAGTTGTGGTGAATAAAGCTGCTCGTTATCACTGAAAGTTGAGTAATAAGGCTACAAATGTGAAACTCTTATCATTTCGCACCTTAAACTTGCTCATTCAAACCACGTGCAGTTTATTAATACAACAAAAACTGGCCTATAACCACACTTTAAAGCTATTTTACCACTAGTGTGATAGAAAGGTGAACCCATAAATCCACTGAAGACGCCCAGATACATTTTAAATCTTTTTCTGTTAGCTGTTGACCATTAAAGTGTTTTCAGAGTAGTGTCCTTGCTGTTTTGTGTTTCAGAGGAGTCCAACAAGAAGCATCCGTTCCCCTGCCCTACCACCTACCGCACGGCCCTTACTCACTACCTGGACATCACTCACCCTCCTCGCACCAACGTCCTCTACGAGCTGGCGCAGTACGCCTCTGATCCCAAAGACCAGGAGAATATGCGCAAGATGGCCTCCTCCTCTCCCGAGGGCAAGGTCGGTAATGGGTGGTAGTTGGGGGTTCAGGGCAGTGGCGGCATACAGCATGTGTGGTTGCCTGCACGTGCCTCCCAGAATCCATTTCGTAATCAAAGATCGTTGCGTTAAGTTCTTGCAGATATAATTATTTATCGACTTCCTTGTGCGGACGCCGGACAAGCGGGCGTCTAGGGACAGACCAAAAGTTTTTCAGTCATGAGGGTCTGAGGCTGAGATTTAATTGAAGCTTGGTCGGTCGAAGAAAAGAATTAAAGAGCTTGGACCTGACCGTCCAGAGTTAAATATTCAGCAGCAGTCCACAGATCTTGGGAGATGGTATACATGGACATTCTCCAGCACGCTATATGACAAGCGCAGTTGGTTAACGGGGCGTGGGGTGAGCAGTGCCTTTTGTTTTCCGTGTCTGCTGTGTCAGAGTCCTCGTACTGAAAGGTTGTGGACCACCACAGTTTTACGGGACTTAAAGCACTTAACAGAGAAGTACAAAAGACTCGAGCAGTTGTAGCCACTTGGACAATAGCGTAGTTTGTTTTTTTTTCCTCCATTGGTGTGATCACTCTCAGATTATCGAAGGTTTGCAAATGATTGCTGCCTAATTTATAAATGCAGACAGACTGCCTTCAGTCTGAAAGAGTCTATGTCAGCGTAACGCGAGGAAACGCATTGCATGTGATGGCCAATTTGACCCCATTTAGTTGCAGACTGACTCTTGTTTTGTTTTAAATGATTCAAATTTTATTGAATTCTGCATAAAAACGCCAAAACGGAACAAAGCAGTTCAAAGACACCGACAGAGAGAGGTATATAAGGCTGTTTGTATAATAAGTTCTTGGGTGGTAATGATTTGCCAGTCGTCTGGTTCAAACGAAGTTATATTTTCACTTGTGAAAGTGTCCCAATCTTCCTTGGCCATCTCATTTTCATCATTAAGCCCTCCCCAACGTCTTCTCACAGACAGCAGTGTTCGTCTTCTGTTCAGTCCGCGTTTTTAGTGTCTGAGTTTGTCACTAGCTAAGAATCCGTTCTCATGCTGATTGTCACATGGCAAAATTTCCCCCAGGTCTAGTGGTGGTGTTAGAGTAGCTGTTATCAAGTTAATGTAACAGAAGCTGGATCACAAAGCTCATATGAATTGTTCTCTGCTTATTTGCAGGCCCTCTACCAGAGCTGGGTGTTGGATGCCAGCAGAAACATCCTCGCCATACTGGAGGATATGCCGTCACTGAGGCCTCCTGTCGACCACTTGTGTGAGCTGTTGCCCCGTCTCCAGGCTCGCTATTACTCCATCGCCTCCTCTTCAAAAGTAAATCCATTTTCTCTGCAGTCAATAGGAGTTAAAGTCATATACTTCTGTTTTAACGTTTATTAAGGAATTGAATAAGCCGTCTGATTTTTAGGAGCGAGCTGTTATTAACTCTTCTCTTTTATGCAGGTTCATCCCAACAGCATCCACATCTGCGCCGTCGTGGTCGAGTACGAGACCAAGACTGGCCGCACCAACAAGGGAGTTGCAACCAATTGGCTGAAAAACAAACTGGTCACGGACAATGGGCACAAGTCCGCCGTCCCCATGTACATCCGCAAGTCTCAGTTCCGCCTGCCGTTCAAATCCACCAACCCGGTGATCATGGTCGGCCCTGGGACTGGAATTGCTCCTTTCGTGGGCTTCATCCAGGAGAGAGGCTGGCTCAAACAGCAAGGTATTTACGGACTAATGTTGTCTAACCTTGACAAGAAACTGATGAATGAACTAGTTATAGTAAGGAATTTCTATCTATATTAGCATGTTGCGCTATCATCTATCACTAGTGCAAACCTGGAGAGTGTATCCAAGGTTACTTTCTGTCAGTATCTGTGTACGGATGTCCCTAAATGCCTCATACGCACGCAGTGAGCTAGGAAGAGGAACATTTTTAATTAACATTTGCTTTGCTCTGTGGCTGTCATGTGATTATAGGAAAAGAGGTTGGAGAGACCGTGCTGTATTTCGGCTGCAGACATAAGAACGAGGACTACATCTACCAGGAGGAGCTCGAAGGCACAGAGAAGAACGGAGTCTTAACACAGCTGAATGTTGCCTTCTCCAGAGACCAGGACCATAAGGTACAGCTGCCTACGAGACTCGGAGTGGTGCATTATATCAGATTTCCTCTGTTGACAATGTCTTGTTACATCAAAGTCGGGAAATGTACCTGGATTGTCTCTTAGTAGTTGATGTGAACTGCTTCTTTGGTAAAATGAAAAATTAAGATAGCAGAAAAACATTTGATTTATCAGTTTAATCGGGATCCCCATCAGTCTCAGTACCCTAGTGTATCCACGCGACACGTGACATGGCATCAGATCGGCGAGCACAATGGCTCCATTACACACAAGCCAACATCCACAACACATTAACATAATACTAGCTGCTTCTAAATATACAGATGTCAATTACTTTCATGGCGAGAACATAAAACTATAACAGGACACAGAAAGAAGCGTTACACATTGATACAGTACAATAATGATTTTTGTAAACGTTTCCTCTCTTCCAGTGTAATGTCCCTTTCGCCATATCCAATTTATAAACATACACAAACAGGATTCTAGACTTGAGTACCTTCCCGATTAAACTCATCACAGCACAATCTTATTCAGATCAGCCCAGATTACCAAGAAAATCGTTTACATTTAGTTCTGTCTGGTTGTTTAGCTGTTTTTAGATAAATACACTGTTTTCTGTGCAGGTTTTTGACACGCACATATAAACATTGTTTTTCTCTTTTTTTCAAAATAAAGGTGTACGTGCAGCATCTGCTGACGAAAAATAAGGAGCATGTCTGGAAGTTGATTCACACGGACAATGCTCATATCTACATCTGCGGGTAATTAGCACATTTCAGTTGTTACGTGTGTGTGTGTGTGTGTGTGTGTGTGTGTGAGAGAGAGTGTGATATTAAAGTATGCAGAAGATGCCGCTGTGGTTGGGCTCATCTCTGATGGACATGAGATGGCGTAGAGGGCGGCGGTGGAGAACTGTCTTGCCGGTGCTCAGAAAATAACCTAACGCTAAACGTCCTTAAAACCAAAGCGACAGGTGGAATCTGTGTCCACCTTTAGGTTTCTGGGCAACCACATCTCTGCTGATCTCCCCTGGATCCACAACACCAACTCCCTGGTTAAAAAGGCCCAGCAGCAGTTGCACTTCCTCTGTGTCCAGAGAATAAGCTGACCTTCTACTGCTCCTCAGTGGAGAGCGTGCTCTCCTACTGCTTGGGTGTTTGGTACGCAGGGGCCACTACTGAGAACAGAAAGGCTGCGCAGAGGGTAATTAAACCTGCCCAAAAAAATCATGGGCTGCCCTCAGCCAACTCTGGTGGCCATCACCAAATCCTCCTGTCTCAGAAAAACCAGGGCCATCACAGGTGACCCCTGCACCCTGCCCACCACCTGATTGACCTGCTGCCTTCAGGTCAGTCAGGTCCCAAACCTTCAGCTTCTTCTCCTGGGCCATTCAGACTGTTAACAAACACTATGTTAGCTCGTTAGGTGAACTTTCACACTGTGGAGCCAGTCAGGAATTCTGCACTACATGGACTACGTGATGCAAGCCTGGATTCTCTTTAGCAATGTGACGCCTCCTAGTGAAATAGTTGTGAAAGTACAGTAAAGAACTTCTGTCTTATTTGTCTTATATGCATTGCTCACTGTCATTTCTTTCCTGTTATAGAGATGCAAAAAACATGGCTAAAGACGTGCAGACGGCTTTCTACGAGATTGCGGAGCAGGTGGGAGGCATGACGCGCACCCAGGCCGTAGATTACGTGAAGAAACTGATGACCAAGGGACGCTACTCACAGGATGTCTGGAGTTAAAGAGCCTCAAACCTGGCTTCACTTCGTGCACATACAGTAGTAGTTTTAA